TTATCCGGTAATAATAACACGCGCGTCGCGATCAATTTTACCCCGTGCCGATTGTAGTTACGTTTTAAATTTCAAAAAGGTGGAGAAAGATGCTCGATCGAAGTGGAACGCAATCTCGTAACGCGAGGAAGACACTTACACTCGATCCATCCGAGCGTTGAACGGTATCGAGAAGCCGGATAAGATAAGGGGTGGATGTTGTCGGCGAGCCAGAATCGGAGAGCGGTCAGAGGTGGCAGAGGTCGACGCGGCTAACAGCGGCGGTTCAAGGGTTGCGTGCGGCGCCGTGGGCGAATGGCGCCAGGACGTCTAAGCGGCGACGGATGGATCGTGTTTCGATCGTGGTAGCGTCGTTGGGCAGGGGGGGAAAGAAAAATAGGCGTAAGCATCCTTCGAGCCAATAACCACGTAACATCGTCCAGAGTATTACGTAGAGTACGTCCCCGAGAAACGGTGGATTGCGAGCGGCGAGCGAGAAAAGAGGAACGAGATTGTGAACGACGAAAATGAAGGGGAGAAGACTCACGTTCTTTTCTTCCCCCCCCCCTTTTTTTTCTCATTTTCGTCGCGTCGTTCCTCCTTCATCGCGCAGCAACTTCTCGAGTAAAAGTACGATGGACGAGGAGTCGTCCTCGAAGCTGTTTTCATTCGATCTTCCTGAATATACATCTTGGCTTGTTTCGCCTCGTATGAATCGTATCGCGCGCGCGAATTTCGAGTAAAATTTGCCTTTTCGTTTCTTTAACGAACACTCGTGGGAGCGGCACTTTCCGTCACTTTGGCAGGAAAAGCCAAGCGATCGTCGAGAATGGTGAAATTCAACGATGGAAGGGGGGAGGGAGGGGGGGGGGGAAAGGCAGTGTCGGGCGCCATTACCTGAAAAAATCTTGACCTTTTCGAAGGCCGCCAACATTTTCGGACCGCCGTAAAGCTTAACGGCCGGTTTTCAAATTGTCCCTTGCCTTTTCTCGCCATAACGAGACACGGTGTGCTTGGGCTCTTCGCACCCCATTCTCTATGGTCTCCCGTGCGAGAGACATTTAAGACCGTAACTTCATTGTTACGGAGGGAGGGGAGGGGACGGAGTAGAGACGGAAAAAGCTTTGGAGAAAAGAGGGTGGCGGGCAGCATCGAACATAATCGCAAGACCGGGCTCGAATAAACGGGTTGAATTCCGTAAAAGGGTGACCATGGAGGGAGGGGCGGAGGGGGGAGGGGGAAGGCCGAGAATCGCTTTATTTCTCGGCCCGTGAAGAATCTTATCGCGGTGAACCGTGAACGAGAAGAATGGAACGCGGCCCGCCAACGATTTCTCCGCTTCTATTTTGGATCACGTGCCGTGAAATATAACGAGAGAATCTATTCGAAATAAAATAAATTCACCGTACGTACCCCTCCGCCTCTCCTTCTTTAATCGAATTTTCGTCCGTCCATCGAGAGGATAGGAACTCGAATGTTGGGCATTGGATATTTAAATTACAGCGTCGATCGATCCGCAAAGAAGATCAGTTCGCGTGGCGTGGCTCTGTTAAAAAATGACTACCACCCCCGCTACTAGAATGCTCGATGGAGTTGGTCGATCGGTACTTATGAGATACGTGACCCCCGCAATTCCACGAGTAGCGACAGAACGTGGTCCAAGAGCTTGCTTTCCGCCGCCGCCTCCCCCCCCCCCCCCCTCCCCTCCCATGAAAGTTAATATTCCGTGGAAAAGGCTTGTACATATACATACATACGTACATACATATATAGAAAAGGACGTCGATGAAAAGAGAGGGGTAGAGGTGAAGAGGTCAAAGAATAAAAGAAAGAACGACGAAAGAAAGGACGAGGAAAGGAAGAAGAAGAAAAAAACGAAGGAGAGGTACTCGTCGGTGGTAAAGAGCCCCTTCACCCCCTAGACTTCATCTAGACTCGGCCGAGGAATCGATAGGGTGACTCATCGAGGGGCGGTGACGGAGTTCTCTCCCTCCCTTATTCCCTCCTGTCCTCCTTGTTCAGCCTTCCCACGCCTTCCCTTCTCCTTCTCTTTCCGCCAACCTTGCTTCTGGTTCTAACGCCGAAAGCGTGTCCAAACTTTCAAACTCTCGTGTACGGCCTCCGTTCCTTCTCCTCCTCCTCGTTTTCTTCTTCTTCTTCTTCTTCTTCTTCTTCTTCTTCCAGACTGCTCTCTTCATCCCCAACCGAAATAACGAAATGCACCGTTCGAAGGCTTTCCTCGCGCGGAATTTGCTGACTCGACGCTGCTCCTCGGCTTAAAAAGTTGCAAAAAGGGAAGAACTTCCCCCTGTCCTCTCCTCCGCAGTGCGGTCTCGTAACCCGAGTTCGGATCGTTGGAAACGATCGAATCGATGCCACGAATTTTGGCCTTGTACGAACAATACGACCTCCTCTTTCGCCTTTCTCCTCTCTTCTTCTAGAAAAGTGGAAGCGCGAGAGAAAGTTGCTCGTGTGTAAAGTGTAAAGTTCGAGGTGTTGGGATATATATATATATATATATATATATACTGTTCCATAAGACGAGAAAGTTTCTCGCGCGAAATAACGAGATCCGAGATTCGGAAATAGGCGGAACTCGCGGCCGCAACACCGCTTCTCTCTCGGACATATCTATAACGGGAATGCGACACGAACGCGAGCACGTCGCCAGCCAATTTGTCGCGCACGAACGATCCACCCTTCTGCTGACTCATCCGGCCTTCCCTCCTGAATTAACCAAATCTTTCCATCTTCCGTCTTACCTACGAATTACGCCCTTACCTTCTTTCACCGTTTCCACCCTCTTTGATCTTTAAATAATTAACCGTAATTTCCAAGCTTTCGAAGGCAAATTGATAAATTATTCGCGAGATATAATACGCGGAAGAAGTTAATGGGAGCGAGTACGATCATCTTTTCTCTCTCTCTTTCTCTCTCTCGTCGTGAACTCGATCCGAAGCTTTCGATTATTCCTCTCACGTCGAGCCTTTCTCCGTTATTTTCGCCGTCCTCCCTTCTTATTCTTTCGAACGAAATAACGAAACGCATTCACCACTGTGAACGCGTCACCACTACCGTGACACGTGTAACGAGCCCACGATTCGTCGCCCTTTCGGCCTCCCTCTCCTCGAGTCATCCAACTTTCGTCGAATTCTACGAATAATTATTACGAACTCGAGTGGCTGGAAAAATTAACGAACCCGTTTTTTCCTCCGAATCCCGTCGAGACGACGACGGTGAACGCGTATACACGCTTTGAGGCGACCGATCGTGATATTCCCGTGGCGTGGCAACTCGTAAAATTCGACGTCGTTCGAGGAACGGGGAGAACCCGATTACCCTTTTGTTCGATCGGGAAATATTAGCGCGGTCGATGGTCGGTGAAAGCGATTGGCGACGAACGAAAATCGAATTAATCTCGAAAGAGATAGGATGATGTCAAAGGGAAAACGGAAACAAGTTTGGTTCGCGTAATTCGATCGATTGATTACCTCTCTCTCTCTCGTCGATGACCCTGCAGTTTCGCAAGAGCAACCGAACTGTCGAGGAAAAGACGATGATGGGAACGATTCGATCGTCCCCTGAAAAAGAGTGCGCGAATCCACTCGATTAATCCGAATTTTTTCGAATCTTTTTATCCTCTCCTCCCCTCGAACCGTGGTTCGTAAATTTAATCCAGAGATAAGTCGAGGAAGAGTAATGCGGATCGAAGCGATTAATCGCGGTTTCTGACAAACGACTCCGGTCGAGCGCGAAACTCTCCGCGTCCCTTTGACCGAAAGAAGCTCTCGAGCTCTCGAAGCACGGGGCTTAAAGCTCGCGGTTGAATCAATACCAGGGGGGAGGGACAGAAGAGAGACGGATACACGGTGGAGGAGATAGGAGTGTCAAGGATAGAAGGAAGGAAGGAAGGAAGGAAGGAGGGAGGGACAAAGGAGGCCAAGGAGAGATTCGTCTTAGACACGTACCTCGTACACGTACACACGTTCCTCCAAGCTGTCCTGCTCCACGATCTTGTATTTACACGTGGGTGTATATATGTATATATATATATATATATATACGTGGCACCGACGTAACTCGATGTTGTCGATAAGTACATGGAGCTTCTCTCTGGCAACGTTTCACGATTATCGGCCGAGATTTTTTTTTAACAATATGACCGGCGTCAAGTTGGCATGGATGCGTTCTTTCGATTTCTCTACAACGTTCTTCTAGCGATTGTCGTCTTGCTGAGGATCATCAGTGAGTAGCGTACACCGTGATTAATAGCAATCATCGTAATCATCGGTATCTGTCTCTCTCCTTTTTCTCTGTTCTGCCGCAAGCTTGAATTTCACTCCTCGCTCCTCGCTTTTCACCTGGTACGAACGATCGACGGTCAATGTTTTCAATCTCCTCCTCCTCCTCTTCTTCTTCTTCTTCTTCTCTCGAAAGAAAAGAAGGAATTCCGCTACCTCCTCTCCCCTGAGGATTCCGAAACTCGGATCGTCTCGACTCGGATGACGTCTCCTCGCGATTGATCCACTCCGCTCTTCGTTTTCGTTTCCTCCTCTGTTTGCCGCTTCGAGGACCATCTTTTATTTCTCTTTCGCTGATTTTTTTTTTTTTCACTTCGACGTTAGTACTCACCTCGACGACTGGCTTTCGCATTATTTCGACAAATTTTCGTGTCGGTGTGTAAATTTCTTTGTCTCTCTCTCTCTCTCCTCCTATCACGCTCCATCGCTATTTCCGCAAAATAACAAAATTTCCGTACACTATATCCAAATATGCTTTTGCATTATCGTCCCTGTTGGCTACACCTATTTTAAACTATCGCGAGAGTGACGAACGTCTGCTTCGCTTTGTCTACCGATAATAAGCCTTTCATCACCGACGAAAGCACGAAAATAATTTCACGAATTTGTGCGAAATTTTCTAACCTTTCCCTTTCGAACGACCGACATACGACTCTCTTTCTCCTTCTCTAAAAATCGATCGAAACAGAATTTTCACACGAAACGAACGTTTGTCCGCAGAAAACGGTCTGCTCTCTTTCGAGAATCCGAATTACCACTTGGACCCGGCTCGCCTGGACGATGCTCTGAACAGCAACGAGAACGGGAGTTCCCTGTACGATGAGTTGTATCAAGAATTGGTCGGGAACGGCGGCAGAAGCGGCGAAGTGACTGGCGGCGGCGGCGGGGGCGGTGGCACGAGGGTTCAAGCGCGCAGAACGTATGCCACGTTGGATCTGGGCAGCATGGGGGTTGACGTCACTCAAGGTCCTCTCACCCAGGACTCCGTGACGGAGGACGCGCAGGACAACACCGACAACCACAACCTAGGGTGAGTAGACTAAGTTTCGTGAAACAACGAATCGAATAATCGAACGCTTCGTTTCTCGGAAAAAGAAAAGGAAAAGGGAAAAATTTGGAAAACTGGAGAATACTCTACGATTAGAATAGAATAGAATTTTGAAAATTTAGAAAAATCGGGTATAACCACGATCCGGCGAGGAATCGAATGATGGCTTTCGCACGACTTATTTTCACCGGGAAATATTATTAAAATTGTGTGCTTTTGCGAGACCGTGCGAGTCTCGGATATTCGAAATTTTTCCCATACGTAATATACCCGGGCTGGAAGATGGAAAGGGGTGGTGGCCGGTATAAAGGAGAAATCGGGTTGGAGAAGCGAAATCGAGGAATCGGCTCGCCGAGAATGTTCCTCGGGTGGTCGTTCCGCGTGATATAAGATCCGACGAGGCAGAGTCGTTGATAAAAGTGGTGTTGGAAGCTCGGACCTCATCGGACTAGCGCATAAAATTTCAATAAATCCGGGACCGTGAAAGAGAGGTTGGACAGAAGGAACGAATGGGCTTCGATGGTACAAGCAAGTTTCCAACTTATTCCCGACTGTTACACGGATTCGAGTGGGGGGAGAAGAGATATTCGTTCGATCGGTCCAACTTCTCCAAAACTCCTTTGTCCTTTTCCACGCTGTTATCCAATGCTCTGATAAACGTTCTCTCTCGAAGGGAATGCTCTCCCTCGCCTACTTCTCGAAGCGAAGATTCTCTCTTCGCTCGAATCGATCCGCCAAATTCTCGCCTCCTTTCGCCGCCAGAATCAAGAACTATAAGCGAGTGGAAAGTTGAGCAAGTTGTTCGGCAAACGATTCCAAGTTGTTCGTGTAACGCGAACGTACACAGCGCTCGCGAATTGCTCAACGATCTGGAATTCTCCTCGTCTACTTCGACGCTCACGCCCCCGCGTTCACCTCCTCATCTTCGCGTCTCGAGGACCTTTTGTCGGCGATGTTTGGAATTGGCCTCCGAGTCTCTGCCCTCGTTAATCTCGCGAACGAGAGGTCTTCTCCTTGGTGAACCTCGATCGAATCTCCTTTTCCCCCTCCCTTCGAATTAGATTCCAGATCGATTCCATTCGCGACAAATCGAAAAGAAAAAGAAAAGAAACGAAAGAAAGGAATTTCGAAAAGAAGGAGTACGCTTCTTTATCTCGTTATCGACGTGCAAATTCGTTCGAATCCCTATACGGATAATTATCGAAGACGGAGCGGACGGTTTTTTTAACGAGAGGGGGAAAAATCGTAGCATCACGAGGCCTGGACCACGTTCGATCGAGACGCGGACGTTAATGGGGGACGGGGGGAGCTTCTTCTCCAGACGCGGGGATAATAAACTGCTCTCTCTTCTCGCCGTTCCATTTTCCTCCCCTCCTCTCGTCTTTTTTCCGCAGCTTGGAAATCCGGGCGAGCATAAAAATGCAATTAAGGAAACGCCTGGCGTCTGGCAGAGGGTGCATACTTCTGTTCTGCGCGGCTGAAAGGTGGCTTCTTCTTCCTCCTTCTCCAAAGACTTCCTCTCCTGTCCCACCCTTCGTTACCCTCTTCTCCTTTCCGCCGCTCTTCCCCTTTCAACTTGCCTAAATTCGGTCCGTCGTCGTGCCGTCTGATCGAGTGAACGCAGTCTCTCCCTGGAACCCGCCACTGTGCGTATGCGTTGGCTTGGAACGATCGAGTTCGATTGAAAACTTTTATCGCGATTCAACGGCCGATCAACTAAAGAGAGATTCTTGTCTGGTATTTCGCTGCCCTTTCAACGACCATCATCCTTCTCGCTCTATTATTTCGAACGCGAACGGGAGAAAGAAAGGGAGAATAAGTTGGCTTGGAAAATTGAAATAGAGACGTGTAGTATTAGATTCGACGTAGACTCGGTCTCGAAAGGGAAGGAAAAATAGAATCTTCGATCTTTGTAATCGCGCGAAGAGAAATTGAAAGGAACAGGGCCGGAGAAGCAAACATTTCGGAATGTCAGCGACGACTCCTACGTAAGTAAGGTAATGAAGCCATCAACGAACGACAATTCGTCGCAGCTGATCGAATTTTCCGGTCGAGGCACAGCGGAAAAGCGAATTTGGCCGGGGTGCAGCTTTCATCGTGGTGCAACGTTAACCTCGTTTGCGCTGATGCGCCTGAAACGTACGCGGCGTTACGTTGTTAGGCACTTGACGTGCCCCTATAATTCCATGCATCCGACGATGGCTGCGCGCGTCATCGTCCCCGGAAAATCGGTAATCCAATAACGTAGTTGATTATTCGTCAACCGGTCGAGGTAATTGCCGCTCGTCGAATCTTTTCCACCATCTCTCTTTCCTCTTAACTTCGTTTGCGTCGCGCAGAAGAGCAGAAGAGTAGGTTGTTCCGACTCGAGATTCGATATACCCGCGTTTCGCGTCGTTCGCATTCGTTCGTTCGGGGAGAAATTTTTCGGAGAGGGTGAAACGAATTATTAACTCTCTCTCTTTCGTTCGAAAAATGGATCGCGTCGAAACAATTGTTTTAATTCTTAAAATTGTAAATTTGAAACGCGACGATTTCGAAACTCGGTTTTGAGTCGGACGATTTCGATTACGTTTGCCCCCCTTATCTCCTTATCGCTCAGAGTTGCAACTACCTAGAGATCGCGCTACTGTCTGTTAAAGGTTAAAGTTAGAAACAGTGGCGATAAACGGAAACGTGGTGTATCGCGATAAGTAAATCGATCGTGGCAGTATCCCGACAAACGAGGCAAGTTTCTCTCGATGCCGAGAGTATGAATCGCAACTCTTGGGTGGAAAATTCGTCGCGATTGGGAAAGTTTAGCGAGGAAAAGTTTGCACCCGTAAGTTTGGATAGAATCTGGCGACATCGAATCGACAAAAATGTGTTGGAAGACGGCCCGTGCAATTTCGAGGGACGGCGGTCACTTTGTCAACGAGAGAAAGAGAGAGAGAGGAAGAACGAAAATTGGCCGATCTCAAAGAAATAGAAGGAAGGGAAACTGGGGGGGATCTGATGGGAATCTAGACGCGAAGCGTCTCGATATTTCGTTCCAACCTTCCGGATATTAGCCCGATAAGCCCGCGAAAAAGGGAGTCTTGTCTTCGTTTGGACGGAAGAAGAGTATTTGGATTGCAACGACGATCGCCTCGCTTCGAGATTGAACTTCATCTAAAGTTGCGACAAACTTGCCTCCTACTCTCGCCCCTATCTCTCATACTCGCGTCGAATCTCCGCCTACAACCCTTAATCTTATTCCGCTTTGATGGGACGAGCGTTGAAAAGGAGGGAGGGAGAAAGTTAGGTGGCGAGCCGTCTCGTGTCTTGGCCGCCGGTTAGAACGATGTTTCCCCGCCTCTTTGAAGCGAGGACTCAAAGGATATAATTCGAAGGAAACGGAAGTTGAGGGAATCTCTTTTAGATTGCGAAAGAAATCGAAAGCTTCGCGTGTTTCACCGCGAACGAAACGAGCTTGAAAAACCGTCAAAGTACAAATGAAGGGTCGGATCTAAGAGGAACGGCACCGGTATCAATTAACGATCCTTCGTCTTTCGCATTTTGGCACTAACAAGATTCCCTTTCACGACCTCGCTTTCTTTCTCTTTCTTTTTTCTTTTTTTTACCTCCCTCTCGAAAGAGGAAGAGATTCGAAGAAAAAGAATAGGGAGGGGGGGAGGGGGGAAGAATCGATACAGATAGGAAAAAATGAAATTCGACGCGTTGGAATGAATCGCGTTCGAGCGAACGGAAATTTCGAAGCGGGCGGAAGGAAGAGAGGCAATAGCGCAATACTGGAACAGAATCGAACCAGGAGGATGCACCACGATTCATCACGGGTTATATATTTTCCAAAAGCTGGAGAAGAGCATGGGAACATGGGCACGACGCGCTTAATAACATCCGCATTATTCTTTATCCTGGCTCGGTATCTGCATCGCGCGTATTCGCAGTGATGCAAGGAGAGGGCGGACAGAGGTAGATTAATGCGATCCGCATCGATCTCCGTCCAAGGACCGTGCCTCTTGCAGGAAAAAAGCAACGGGATCGCCGTTATTATGCGTCATTTTGCTCTTTTGTTCTCGATCGCCGTCAAATGGACCGATTATCCTCGAGTGGCTGCCGATACGAAACATCCGTTCGAGCTTTCGTGGCTGGTAATTCGATAATTTCTTCTCCTCTTCCTCTTAAGCGCATACGATTTATCCTTGGTCCCCGTTTTTACGAACGGGGGTAATACGAACTCGATAACTCGTTTCATTGATTCGTTGATCTGATCGAGAGATTATCATTTGCGACGCCTTTTCATTTTTACTATCGCGACAGACCTGCTACGCGTTGAATACCCGGCGCGCGCATAATCGGCGGCCACAAAGCCTTCCGCCTCGTAACTATATTCCGATAAAGTTGGATCCCACCCATTCAGGAAGCGTGAACCCGTAAGGAACGACGAGCATCGCCATTCGAAGCGAATCGCTAGTCCTCGAGTGATACAATAACGTCGTCTCAGCGAAGAAGAGAGGAGGGGAACATCTTAACGTCGTATGCTCTCTTGTTCCCGCTTATCGCGGCGACGATACGTTTCTCAAAGAAGAGAAGCCAGCATATATATATTATGAGATATTATTCTCTATGCGTATTTTTCGATCGTCGACTTTTCAAAAGATGTGAAAATATCGGCGGTACTCGATAAAACGGAGGAGAAAAAGGAGAAGGAGGAGGAGGAGGAAGTTTTCGGATAATTCACGCGTCCGAGGAGGAGTTGTAAGTCACTTGGACAACACCCTCCGGAGTGCTGGAAGCCGAAAGGCGCCGTGAGAACGAACGAACCATTTTCGAGGGTTTTGCGAGAGGAGAAAAAAGGAAGGAGAAAGAGGAGGAGGAGGAGGCTAGAAGTGGCGGAACTCGCACCTCGCAAGGATAGGTATCTTAACGATCGTGTCTGAGGCGGGAACATATACATTGGGCGTGAAATAAGGCGCCTTTGTTAGGGCAGCTTTTCTTTA